TTTGATATCATTTGCTTCGTGCGCGATTCTTGACAAAACATTGTCAATTTTGGTTCTTCAGTATCATCTTGTCGTCACGTGACCACGCGTTGCTCAAAGATTCGTCAAAAACATGACCAATCATCGTTTCTCGATACYAGTCCTCTTGTGGTCAGTCAATATACAGGAAAAGGCGAACAGGACACAAAAATACAAGTGACACTGGGCGAAGGTATATCTTGGTATATCTAATTATTAATATACTTGAATGCTTTCTAATTCTCAAATGCTAAAAGCTAGCATSGACTTTCGGCTTTAATAAATTCCGTGCATTTTGGCTGAATATACCTTTTTWAAATTTGTACAACACCGCTGAGCTTCATGATCCATGAGCTAAGACTCATTTACTCCAGTCTAACCGTAGCCTCAATTCTGATGTGTTAGAGCATTCACAAATACGAAAATAAAACAAAGAAAGCACATTTTAAACAATACAAATACGTTTTATAAACCAACCCTCATGCCCTAGAAGACTACATGAATATTCTAAACGTTTGGCTCGATGTTCYTAATACTCCTTTTTACAGTTCCATTCATTGACCGCAAATAATAGTTCCAAGTCGCGGTTCGAATCGAAATTACCTAGACTATTATTTAGTGGTCACTGAATGGAAATGTAAAAAAGGAGTATTCTTAGAAGAAAATGCTACCTCAACTTCCGAGCAACTAAACATACCTTAATAATGATTTTAATTTAGTACTGTTTATTATTATTCTGTTGCAGAAGGGATGAGTACATACAGGCCAGCGGTCCCTAAGGAAGTCGTGACCACCAAAGCCAATACACGTGACCTCTCATCCTACATGGACTCAGTCCCTCAAGATGATACTAAAGAATCCATTATCCATCTTCTGGATTCACTGGCAGGGGAGAAAAGATGGAAAGAAAAACAAGTGAGGGCCAGAAAGAAAAGTAAGTAGTATAGCAGGCAATGTATTACCACTTATTATCTCAATCCAATGACGTAACTTCCTTTTTTTCCCGGAAATGAATATTTCTTGTTTTGCAAACTTTCTATTCCTAGTTGAGCTGCGGAGAAGGATCTTTCAGCGTACTAGACTTAAACCGTACCTTTTCCGTGCCATGTCCCCGGGGCCCAGTTGCACTACTTATCCCTACCAAATAAACTCCTAAAAGCATTCAAAAAAATAGACATGGAACTTGATCATACTTCAGTTATAACATTTAATTATTGAATGTAGTGGTAGTGAGCAGGACATTTTACAGAGTTTTAAAGTTTTATGGTTTTTTGAAAGCTTAATTCGTAAGTTCGAAATCAATAGGAAATATCGTAAAAGGTGATGCCAAAGATGTCATTCTTATGCTGGTTTCTTCCATTTTTGTTCAAGGTAACGAAGACTTTGTATCTCGGCAACTACTGGCAGCAGCAAACACGGCAGAAAACTCCCAACAAGCATCAGATAACTCCGATGAGAAAAATGAAGATGGTAAATAATGGTCATAAGTAGCCCACAACCCACCATTATATATCCCGCTAATGACAAGCAATGACAAGCGGCTAATAATTGGGACTGTGTGGGTGTGTTGCATACAAATGAATAAGAAGGAAACTTAAAGGCCGTGTAAAAAAATTGGAACTAGACTAAAGTTTTGGATTTTACTGAATTCACCCATACATCTATCTTCATTTAAAGATACATCCTTAGATTCTCCCATCCTTCATCTCATCCATCCTTTTATCCATGCAAAGTTATTTTTCCATCCATCAATTCATCAATCCATCAATTCATCAATCCATCAATCCATCAATGCATCAATGCATCATTCCATTCATTAATGCATACCTCCTCCATTATCATCCAACCATCCAACCACCCATTCATCTATCAATCTAACCATTTACCCATCAATCCCCCAGAAACATTTGTACATCGATCTATTCATTCATCTTTCCACCCGTCCACCATGTCATTCATTCATTCTTTCGTGCATTTATTTATTCATTCCAGATATCGCAATCAAGGAAGGCATGCTTGCACACAATAGTTTTCGTCTTCTTCATCACGTACAGCCTCTTAAGTGGAACGAATCCCTTGCCGAGCAAGCACAACGCATTGCCAAGACAATTGCTAGTGACCCAAGTTCATTTCAAGTAAGAATAGATCTAAAGATTCAATGTAGCTTAAAGGCAATGTTTTGTTAAGTGGTACAAGGGCAAAAATTACAGCGTACAGCATTATTGCAACAGTTCTTGGAGAGCATGTTACGTCATAGACGCCATGTTGGTTGACGATAACAAAGTATTTCTCATTAGCTTCTCTCGTTAGATTGACCGAAATGGCGTCTGTTTTATTGTTATTAATATCTCAAGGAATTTTGAGCAATGACGTTGCATCCCAAGAATGTCATGTAAAAATAAGGTACACGTGCGAGATTTCACTATTGCGAACAATGGCGGTGTTTCCATCCCAACCAATCCCAACACTTCGGTCAAATCGCTCATCAAGACAAAATGCCACCGCTCATGGACCGAAAAAACTTGACTTTGACCATCTTCAGTGCTTGTTAAACTGCGTAGCGTAATTTAACTCCCTTTTTAACACTTTGGAATATATTTCTGATTTATTAGCAGTAATAAATGACGTTGTCCTTAAAACAGCGAGGTCTAACATCAGAAAATATATTGTGTGAATACGACCATTGCTGTTGTAATTACTTGGAGCCTAGAAACATTCAGGCTTAAACGGGATTCGAACTCATGAACTTTGCGCTAACGGTGCATACTAAAACCTATCTAAGCTATCTAAGCCACAGGGTCTCAGGTGAAGGGCATTGCAGGGACCTCGAAGCCGCCCCCACGTTTTGCGCCAAAAATACGAATGTAAATATAAAATATTTTTCCCCAAAAAATTTGATTGAGAATTCTTTTTAATTCTCAAATGCCAGCCCCCCCTCCCCTTCCCCCACACACACACTCTTCGAAATGTTCCGCGGTCCCTGCATAGGTCAAGTTTGTAGTCTTTTACGAATTTACGAGGACGAGTATAAAGCTCAAAATAGACAATGGTGAGGTTGTACTTATGAGTAGCTAGGTTTAAACATTTGCTAGCAGTGTGACAAACAAATCATAGAGCAATAAATCACGGTTAAACTATGCTATTATGATTTTAGGGCGAATCACCTGGTGAGAACATTGCCCAAATATGGCACGACTTTCCCCAYGCTCCACTCAAAGCATCGAACATCTGGTATAGCGAGAGGAAAGATTACAGCTTTTCATACCCTAAATATTCTGACAAGGTTCGTCATTTTACTCAAATGATCTGGAAAGGTACCACTCAGGTAGGACTAGGTAAGTGTATTGGAAAAAAATAAACTTGTTCAATTTATCGTTATCGTCATCCTTTTTACCTTTTCAATATAGCCTATAGAGCGTTTTCACGGGACGTCACACCGGCCAACTTGGTGTACCAAAACAATGCATGTTCTATCCTCCAGGAATCTATTTTCAGACAAAAACTGTCATGAAAGTTTATATTGTTTGGTTCACCAATATGGCTGCCTTGTCACGTGAATGGAAACGCTCTATATACCCATTTCTCCTATAATGATTTATATATGTGAACAATAATAATTCAACTGAAGAGACGTGGAAGTGGTTTTTRAGTACGCCATTTTGGCGTTACATTACTGTTTAAAAAACAACTGCTGCTCAAGGAAGAAAGTGCAACACAATTATGATGAGGGCAATTGTATTGACCTGACGTAACGCGAGACGACGTGACATGAAATGACATGACGTGACTTAACTTATCATGGTCATTCATTATATGCACATTCTTTGACACTAAACTTATCTACCTTATTTAGGAATAGCCACAAGCCCTTCAGAGAAATACAAGATCGTGGTCGCCTTGTACTGGCCACTCGGAAACGACGCTCACCCAAAGGAACTAGAAGCTAATGTTCCAAGACCTGGAGGTGGACCAGACGTTTATGCTACCCTAAAATGGGATATCACCAGACCAAAGAAAAACAGCAAACGATACGACCACCAGACAAAAAACAAAATGCGAATTACGGCGAGGACAAACATTTAACTGTGTTTTATTTTACAATAAACATGTGTGTTCTTTTGATGATAACTGGATGTGTTGAAGTGATTAGTTTAACTGAGTTATATACTGATGGTATCAGCATGAACAAAATGGGAAAACTGTCTATTTTTGTGCACAGAGTATCATAATAATATTCGACAGCTGAGGCGTAAGGTGCTGTTGTACACTTGGTGATTGGCCTTGTCTCGCATTGAACCCCTTTTGAAATTKTCTTGAGCACGAGGCTAACATGAAAATGCAAAAAAATTCCACAAATTCCATCGAGAAAAAGTATGATTTCTTTCKTATCAATAACACCCTTTCTGCTTTAGAATTATTTTTCGATTGGTTTCCATAGCGAAATAGCGTCGACAATAGCCGGTTCTAGTTGCAAAAACCCGAAAGTAATCAGTTCGACT